TGCACCCTGCGGGTGGTCATCCTTGCTTTGATTATGCTCCATCTAGGCGAGGATTGACTGCCGTTAGCCTCGAGTGAAGGGGGCCTATTGCTGAAGTGCAAGAATGGGTTGTGCCTGCCCCATATGAATGTAAAGAATGTGAAACGCAAAAATGAAATTGAAAATATATAAAAGCTGATCAAAAGATCATAAATTATAGGCTGCGAGGGTACAAGTGGAATTTGATGGCAAGTACCTAACCTGCCTATGTAGGTATGACATTGGATGGCTCGGCAGGGCAATTCATGTGCCAGAGAGGCTGCGATGGTATTATGTAGGTACCACAGGCTGGCCATCACCAAATGAATGGAAGCGACAGTGCCTCGGCCCAGGTGAAGCCGACCAGACTGATTGACATGGAGGCTACAGCGCTTGGCTTCGGCCGGGCTAGCGGGGCACTCGGAATTCAGCGGGCCTGCCCTTGGAACCCGAGAGCTCCGTGACGTTTTCGGGAGGACGGGACTGCTCTACGGGATGGCTACGTATGCATAAATACAGCTGGCAGCGAGCAGTGCATCAGCCGGCTGCTGGTGGCTCCCTGGGGGCGCAGAGAGGCAAACAATAAGAAACATGTCACAGATGTTGAAGGGAGGCGGGGTCAAGTGGAGGGGTGACTTGCAAAGATAGCTAGGGCCGCATCGTAGCTGTGTAACGGGTGCCTCACCCCTCGGCCAGTCTTCACACGAAAGGTGGCTGATACCAAGCCCAAGGGCGAGCTGTTGGTATACCAAATAAGAGGACATGCTCAGGATTGAAATGGGTGGAGGAGCAGCTCAGCTAAGCTTTGTACTCGCTTGGCCACGCCATATTCTGAACCGCTTCCAGCTACCTAGGTAAGCAAGTAATGTGGGTTCTCGCCTACCTGCATAGAGGCACCACCAATCTTCATTAGGGTCACACTACTATTACCTCAACGATTGTCGAGGCAGGTACCTACCTAGTACCTCGTCCAAGTCGTCGGCTGTCTGAGGCCAGGCCCAAAGCGCAGGCAAGCGCCTTTGTGGCGGGAGGGTATGACAGCAGAGCTATCTGGTGCCCCCGACAACAATAGAATAAAGCTCGTATCGCAGCAGGGAAATGCATCACAAAGCGAGGGGAAACAACCAGAACTAAATCTGTCTATGGGATGCATGAAAATAGTACTGGAGCGAAGATTGGTCGGGATAGTCGATCGGCATGCCTATGTACAGCCAGGGAACCGAGCTGATGTCGAGATCCAGCCCACCGCCCTGAGGTGCCCTCAACCACCAATGGCCCTGCATGAGACAAGCTACGGTAGGTGCCTAAGGTGTTGGGCGCCGGGAGCTCCCTACATGCCTCCATAGGTACCTTACACATCACCTTTGGTCACCAGTAGGACGTATGTAGGTAGGTGCGTCAGGTCAGGGTAAGGTACCTAAGGTGGGCAGACAGGCGTGTGCGCTGGGCATCCAGGCAAGATTGCCAGGTTCCCCACACCTGATTGATGGTTCACTGGCGTGTTGCGAGGACCTACCGCCCGCCACCACACGACCACCACTGCCACCGCTAACACGCACCGTCCAACACCACCTCAGAGATCATACTCGCCCTTCTTGTACCTTGCCTTTCTTCCCCTCAGCCAACGACATCATCAATCCCAAAACTTTTCCGCCGCTGTCCACGCCTCCCACCCCGATCCCATCCACCACCCGCACCTCACCCAGGCTACCTGGAGCCTCTCGCCTCCCAAATTCCACGACCACGCCCATCCTCTGTTCCCGCTTTCTATTGATTCTTCAGCCCGTCCTGGAATTCCCCTCCCCACCCTATCTAACACCACCACCACCACTCCCGCTACTTTTGCTTGTCCCGTCTCCAACCCTCCTCCGCCTCCCACCTTTCAACTCCCATCTACCGCCCTCACTTAGCTTCAGCTGCCAGCTCTCAGTTGTCGCCTACTCCCACCAACTCCATCGCCAGCGCTGCCCACCAACATGGTCGACAGTGAAGCTAGCTCGCCTACGTGGAAATTCACACAGTACGTCCCCATGCTCCCACCTTGGACCGAATCAATAACCAACAGCAGGATACAGATGCTTTGGCGATAAGGGAGATGTGGAGGACATTACCGAGGGTATGCCTACTCGCTTCTACCACTGCATCGCACATCTTTTCTACCGCTTTGTTCATGTATACTGACCGCCTCTCCCCATCGCAGCTGATATCATCTCCACGGTTGAGTTCGATCACACGGGAAACTACCTAGCCACTGGCGACAAAGGAGGTCGCGTCGTTCTTTTCGAGCGGAATGAGACGGTATGTCATCATCTCGACGCATGATTTCTTCAGTTCCAAGCTGCTGTTGTCCGGATCTGCCAGTCTGACAAATAGTTCTGCAGAAAAAGTCTTGCGAGTATAAGTTCCATACCGAGTTCCAGTCCCACGAACCCGAGTTTGACTACCTCAAATCTCTCGAAATTGAAGAAAAGATCAACAAAATCAAGTGGTGCCGCCGACAAAACGCCTCACACTACTTGTTATCAACCAACGACAAGACCATCAAGCTATGGAAAGTCTTTGAGAAGTCTCTCAAGGTAGTGGCCGAGAATAACCTATCTCACGATGTCACGCCGGCAAACGTCGTCGGGGCTGGCGGCGGAAGTGCCCTGCGCCCCCCTCCATCCGCCTTCAAGAATGCCTCTGACCTCAAACTTCCACGCTTGACCCATCACGATACCGTCGTTGCCGCGGTCCCACGCAGAACCTATGCAAACGCCCACGCCTACCATATTAACAGCATATCCGTGAACAGCGATGGCGAGACGTATATCAGCAGCGACGATCTTCGCATCAACCTTTGGAACCTCAACATCCAAGACCAGAGCTTCAACATCGTTGACATCAAGCCCGCAAACATGGAGGAGCTCACCGAGGTGATAACGGCCGCCGAGTTCCACCCACAGAGTTGCAACTGGTTCATGTATGCCAGCTCAAAGGGCACAATCAAGCTCGCAGATATGCGTGAGAGCGCGCTCTGCGACCAACATGCGAAAAGTTTGTCTCCCTCTCCCAATCTGCCTTCGTATTTCTCTGTCGCTCTCTCATGCTCTCCCCATTAAAATTCACGCTGTTATACTGACATCCAACCCACCTAGTGTTCGAGCAGGAAGAAGACCCTTCATCGAGGTCGTTCTTTTCTGAGATCATCTCATCCATTTCCGACGTTCGATTTTCCTACGATGGCCGATACATCCTCTCTCGCGACTACCTAACTGTCAAAATATGGGATATCAACATGGAACGACAGCCCGTCAAGACGATACCGATCCACGAGCATCTGCGACCGCGATTGTGCGATACCTATGAAAACGATAGCATATTCGACAAGTTTGAAGTTGTCTTCTCTGGGGATGCAAAGAACGTAATGACGGGAAGCTACAACAACAATTTCATGATCTATCCCTCGGATCCAGAGAAAGAGACGGAGGTAGTACTACAGGCGGATAAATCGGCGTTCAAGGCAAAGAAGATCGGAGTACCCACACCCATTAATTCAGCAACGAGCCCGACGGCAAACGGTGGAAAGAAGGCAGGCTCACGGGCAGAGAGCCCAGGTGGCGGAGCACAACGAATGCGCAAGGAGACCGACGCAGACCAGATTGATTTCAACAAGAAAATCCTCCACATGAGCTGGCACCCCTTCGAAGACAGCATTGCAATTGCTGCGACCAATAATGTGAGTCCGATGGTCAAATTACGGCTACCCCAAATATAGTCCATATGCCCGTTGCTTACCAGCCTTCTAGCTCTTTGTCTTTTCGGCACTGTAATTTATAGTGTGGCCCCACGTTATTGATTCTAGACTCTTGAGGATATCACTTGTTTCGCTTAGAGAGCCAGGGTTCTTCTTGTGTTGGAGGTGGGCGGGATGACGACCCGAGGCTTCACAAGAATGATGTTTCGCCCCAAATGATGGACACGTAGGGCAAGGCTCCGGTAGGCGACAGGTGGTCTCGACCCGGCAACGATCAAATGTCATTATTGATCTAAAGATGGGTGGACGGCATTGTGAAAGCGCCGGGGTCGCCTGACCACTTTAAATCAGCGTCGCACTGAGTCACAGCTGGAAGTTGGAGGCTACTAGGCCAGTCGAGGTTTATCGTCTCCCCTATGCACAACCGCCTTCAGCCGGCGATTGGTGTATTTTCGATGCTGGTATCCTTCAGCTTCTATAATGCGTTCGTGTCTGATGGCCAGTCGTGCACGACGATTATTACAAGTTGACATATTCAGGAGAACAAAGAGAACAAGAACTAATTGTAAATTCAGTCCCTGCGTGATTACTCTCTTCTCCATGTGCATCCATCCAATGATGGCAACGTATTGCCCGAGAATATCCAGAACGGCCGCCTTCCGCGAGTTTGCACATTAGCTCTATTGGTAAGCTGGCCTAGCGCGCGGATTGTCGTAGCTTACCTATACTTCAGATGCGTGTCTGTCATATAAAACAGGTCGTCTTCGAAGCTGGTACGATTATCCTCCTGCGCGTTCCTGTCATCCATGTATTGATCAGCGAGCAGGGGTGAGGATACAGGCGGATCGGCTAGCGTAGGTACCTTGCACGTCTAGATGGGCGAGCCTATACCTGATGGCAGGTACCCATCCTGCCTGTCTAGGGTACGCAGATGCCTGACCTAAGCTTACTGGGCACCTTGTACCTCAAAGGCCAACGGTCATTTGTTAGAACCTGCCGACCACCTGTCCTAGTACCACTTTACACCCCTACTACTGGAAGTACCTCATCCACCAACTTCCATCTGCAAGATCACTCTTCATCCGCTTCACGACGATCAGGGTTCAGCTACCCTAGGCAACGAGCCTCAGCAGGAAGGCTGTCTTTTGCTTCATAAGCCTGCTCCACCCAGGTCGTGACACGGTGGTGACCTCGTGGCGCTTGGTTGTATCAGAGCTTGATCTCATCCAAGTAGAGTCGCATCGCAATGAGCAAACACGACGACCAACCCAACGGAGGCAGAAGGCCAAGTAACGGAGATCAAGGTGATGACAAGCCCAGCGCTATGTCTCTCGCCCGCCATGCCGGACCTTCGCTGCTTGCCGCCTCAGTTATGCTGGGCCTGATTTTTGGCGGCTGCTGCTCGAATGTAAGACCAGTTCTCTCCATCTCCATGTAGCACAACCGATGGGATTCATCCCTGTTTTGGTGGCCACTGGCAACATGCTAAGTATGTCCAATAGGTCTACGCACTCGAAGCAATCATCAAGTACGTCTGTCCTCTCATTCCTCATCTTTGAGGAAAACTTCTCAATCAATCAACCAGGGCCCAACTAACATTCTGCCACTACAAGTTTCGAACCGTCTGCTGGTACGATACCCTCTATGAATGCTTCCTCCCCTCGCCTGCAAATCAAGGCTGTTGATAGCAGCATTTGCTGAGATGGTGTGACAATTATAGGAACTCTCTTGACCTTTGTCCAGTTTATCTTTGTAGCGACTACAGGTTACATCACACAGTTTGACCAGTCACGGCCACCCTTTTTCCTGGCCCCAAACAAGGTTCCCATTCGCCGCTGGATCATCAACATTGTACTCTTCTTCAGTATCAATGTGCTTAATAACCATGCATTCAGTTATAACATTTCCGTCCCCGTTCATATCATCCTTCGTTCAGGTGGAAGTATCACGACCATGGCTGCAGGCTATCTCTACGGAAAACGGTATTCTCGGATGCAGGTTTTCGCAGTCGTTCTCCTAACCTTCGGTGTTATTGTAGCTGCATGGTCCGATTCTCAGGCAAAGGTGGGTAAACACCCTCCTCTCAAGTACATTCTCACAATATCATGTCCGATTCTCATAGTCTCTTTAGGGCAAGTCTGGCGATGACTCGAGGCCGGCTTTCAGCACAGGGCTTGTGGTTCTTTTTATTGCCCAAGTGCTATCGGCCATCATGGGCCTCTACACCGAAGCCACCTACCGAGAGTACGGCCCGCAGTGGAAAGAGAATCTGTTCTACTCCCATACGCTCTCACTGCCCCTTTTCCTCCCATTTGCCTCGTCAATGTACGCCAGCTACAGTCGTATGGCTGCAAGTGAGCCACTGCCCGTGGGTTTCTTTTCGCCTACCGTCGGTGCCGTCTTTGCCAAAGCGCCAAGGCAATTGGTGTTCTTAGCGGCCAATGTCCTCACTCAATACGCCTGTATCCGCGGTGTCAATCTGTTGGCTGCCATGTCCACAGCTCTCACTGTAACCATTGTCCTCAACATTCGGAAGTTAGTAAGCTTGCTGCTTAGCATATGGCTGTTTGGAAACACTCTTGCTCCTGGGACCGTTCTTGGGGCTCTGGTTGTCTTCGGTGCTGGGGGGCTGTACACGTTTGGCTCGTCGCGGCCGAAGCAGAGTTCACCCTCAAAAGAGAATGCCCAAACTACGGTCAAGAAAGAAGGCTAGGCAGGGGAGTACAGTATGCATTGCCAAACGGGGCGAAGTATGAAATGAGGGTACGAATAGAATGGGTGATGAGATTCAATAAACAAAAAGACAAGACGAGAGGAGAGGAGAAACCGGGCAAGGCGCAAGGGAAAGTCATGGTAATATACATATACTCAGTACAATTGGCAAATAGAACATTTAGATGGTTGTTGGATTTCGTTATGGAAAGGCCCTTACCCAATATCCATTTACTACCTAATCCATATGGATTGGGTCCTGATACCACATCCTGATGAAGTTGTCCTTGATGCGTTGTGTATAACCTATTTACACAGCCAGTATGACATCCTCTGACCTACCTAGCGTAGCTACGGGAGCTGCACCTGCCTGCGTGGGTTGGTCTGTAGTCCCATTTACCCACCTTCAGGCTTTGGTGTGCATCTACTAGTCCCATATCGAAGACTGCCATTTGTCTGTCCAGACCCAGGCACGGGGCTAGCTACCCCAACCAAACGCATACCTCTCAATGAGAACGCAATGGGCGGGCTGGCGGGCTCTATCTCCCTTGCATGGAATAGCGTTCTGTCGTGGTGGGTGCAACCCAACCCCAACCTTCTTATGTCACCGACTAGGTACCAGGGAGCTCTCGGTATTCGCCGCCATCCTAGAACAGCTCCACCACACTCGATCTCCCCCTCTACATCCGCCCCTCCAAAAAAATTAAGGACCAAGATATGGGTGTAGGCGGTCTTGGTACCAAGATTTCTCCTCCCTCTATCTTCTACTAATTTCTTCGATATCTACCAATTCGTGCGAAATCTGCCCTTGGTCCTCCCTCCCGTTTGCCGTGCCGGAGAACATCTTCCCTGCTCACTCGAGTCTTGGATCGCTTCAGGCCGCCGCGATGGCTGGCGGTACGTGTTACTACTGCTCCATGTTGACAATGCAAACGCCAGCAAGGGAGGGCCGATCATACTGGGAATTCCCCGCGACAGACAGGGCTAACATGAAATCGATTCAGAAAATGGTGCTCCCCACCAGGATCAGGTGACACCTTACGGTGTACATACAAGAGAGTCAGATGAGGAGGATGCAAGCGTACAGGAGGGTGGTGCAACAGAATGGGAGGAAGCGTCCACAGATGAGCACCGCGCATGGAACGAATCGACCGAGAACAACGAACAAGGCGAGCTTCGTGAAGGAATGCTGCTACGCGATCTGCCAAAACGTACCACTTTCTACGATCCCGTCGCCGAACGCCAGATGAGCCAAACAGACTTCAAACACTTCTATCAGCGCAGCAAGGCTGAGACTCGCTCCAACACAGGCGGGACTCGCTCCCAACAGACGCCATTCGGCAGTCCTATGATTGCTGCTGGCTCGCAGCCCCCAACTGAATATGGAGCCGATTCTTTGCTTCTCGATCCCGAGAATCAGAGTACAGAACCCCAAGTTCTTTGGAATGGTAGCTCCGAGACACCAACCTCGGTCCCAGAATACAATCGACCACCTCTAGACGCCATGTCTCCCCCAGGCGCCAGGATTTATCCCGGGATGGCAGCTTCCAGGGCCGGTCCTGCATTGTACCCCAAGGATGCGCCCGAAAATTCACAGCCTGCAGCTCCTGCTCTGCCCCAGAGCGGCCTTTTGGGAAGCGGTGCCTTCGATACCGAGCCTCAAATCACCGAAGAGCTCAGTGCGATTTCTAAAAATATCCAGCGAATTCTTGATATCAGGCGCAAATACATAAAACTATCTGCCCAGGGACCAGATGATAACCCCAGGGACATGCCAGGTTGGGACATTTACCCCCCTCCCCCGGAACCCGCCTGGAAAGCGACCGGGGAGGTGTATGGTTCGGGTGGGCATGAACAGCAATCTGGGAAACAGGAAGCGAAACGTCCTGTTAGAAGGAGAAAACCCGGCCAAGATATCGGTGAAGACTTTGATATGGATGATCTTGTGCCCCTCCCCGGCGACGACGGTATGGCTTTCAGACTTGATGAGAGCGGAGTATACCAAGTATTCGAAACCGAGAAAGCTACCGAGCCTGCCATCCAAATCCCCACCATCAGAGAGTTCTACATGGACCTAGATGAGATCCTTACCACCTCCTCAGATGGGCCGAGTAAGAGTTTTGCATTCCGTCGTCTCCAGTATCTCGAGGGAAGGTTTAATCTCTATGTTCTACTTAATGAGTATCAGGAGACAGCCGACAGTAAAAAGGTTCCTCACCGAGACTTCTACAACGTTCGTAAAGTAGACACCCACGTCCATCACTCGGCTTGTATGAACCAGAAGCACCTTCTCCGGTTCATCAAGAGTAAGATGAAGAAGTTTCCCAACGAAGTTGTTTTGTATAGGGATGGAAAACACTTGACATTGGCGGAAGTCTTTTCAAGTATCAACCTGACAGCTTACGACTTGAGTATCGACACCCTGGATATGCACGTAAGTTTGATGGCACGGTCCAGCTACCCAGATATCTCCTTGACCGGATGTTCATAGCTAATGATCGCCCGCTAACACACTGGATAGGCTCATACTGACTCTTTCCATCGTTTTGATAAATTCAACCTGAAATATAATCCCATTGGCGAATCTCGGCTCAGAACCATCTTCCTCAAGACGGATAACTTCATCCATGGACGGTACTTGGCAGAGATCACCAAAGAAGTCATCTCAGATCTGGAGTCGAGCAAGTACCAGATGGTAGAGTGGCGCATTTCCATCTATGGCAAATCCATTGACGAGTGGGACAAGTTGGCAGCTTGGGTTGTTGATAACAAACTCTTCTCGCACAATGTTCGTTGGCTCGTGCAGATTCCTCGATTATACGACGTGTACAAGGCCAGTGGTCTAATGGACTCTTACGAGCAAATCGTCAAAAATGTCTTCCAGCCCCTTTTCGAAGTAACCAAGAATCCTTCAAGCCATCCAAAGCTCCACGTCTTCTTGCAGAGAGTCATTGGCTTTGATAGCGTGGATGACGAGAGCAAGGTAGAGCGCCGGCTATTCAAAAAGTTCCCAGTCCCCAAGGATTGGGAAACAAAGCAGAACCCACCATACAGCTACTGGATATACTATCTTTACTCCAACATGGCATCTCTGAACTATTGGCGGAAGAAGCGAGGTTTCAATACTCTGGTCATGCGCCCCCATTGCGGCGAGGCTGGAGACAGCGAGCATCTGGCAGTGGCGGCCTTGTGCTGCCATAGCATCAGTCACGGTCTCCTCTTGCGAAAGGTGCCGTTGCTTCAATACGTTTTCTACCTCGAGCAAATCGGCATCGCCATGTCTCCCCTAAGTAACAATGCCCTCTTTTTAGCATACGAGAGAAACCCTTTCCATCAATATTTCCGGAGAGGACTCAATGTTTCTCTGTCGACCGACGATCCTTTACAATTTGCCTTCACCAAGGAGCCCCTGATTGAGGAGTATGCAGTTGCAGCACAGATTTATAAACTCAGCCCTGTGGACATGTGTGAGTTGGCCAAGAACTCGGTTCGGCAAAGTGGCTATGAATTGTCAATCAAGAAGAAGTGGCTGGGCCCGAGGTGCGACCTGCCTGGTAGAGATGGCAACGAGATGGTGAAAACAAATGTACCTGATCGAAGAGAGGATTTCCGATATCGTACTCTTCTTGAGGAAAGAGACGTGTAAGTGATTATCTGGTACGTGACAGGTTTTGAATCACTGGCTAACGTGGTATTTTTCCTCTGTTCTAGACTTGAGCAGTATGTCAACCACAAATCTTCAACTGTTGGTGCACCAACCGGCACTTCGGCCTCAAATAACGCGAATTCCGGAGCTCAGAGTGGCTCCCTAAAGTCGAACGATCATTCCTCGAGCTCGCTGTATATGCCTGGTTCCGCTACTGGTATTATTGAGTCTTCTCAAGGCTCGTCCCGGGAGGGGCAATATATGACAGAAGGCACTCATCTTTCCGGCCATGAAGCCCGCGCGTTCCCGGGTATTTATACTCGCGAATCAAGGAGCAGCAGTATACGCAAAGATAACAATGCTCCACCGCCACAGCCAACTGGGGCTAGCGGCGCCGAGTGATCTGCCACGAGATATGTCAGGCACAGATAGCTTTCTCGGGTTCAAGAAGTGTTTGCCTCGATTGCGGGAACTTGATGTAGCGGTCTCGTCTATATTTCCCTTCGCCCCCTTGGGCCAGCCGCTAATTCCAGGTCCAGACGACGATTGGGCGAGGTATCGCTTTTACGTGCGTACGGTCACCAGAGCCGTGCAGGAGGAAGATAGAACATTGGACGAATTGATTCGGACTCGTCTACTGCGCAGCCCTTTGGAAATCAAGTTTGTTAGATTAATCTAGCAATAATCTATTTGCGAGCCTACTACTGTCTTAGATTCTCTGAATAGAGCTTGGTCGTAATAAGTGCGTCTGCTTGTGGGTTCGTTAATTGATAACATGGATATTGATCAATTTGAGGATTGTTTACAATCATGGTGTGTATCTCGTACATTTCGCACATGCTGTGATGAACAAGCCTCTTGGTTCACTTGTACATATGTATATATGCCTGGTAGTGAACCGGCATGATACTTGACATCCAACCCCCAACCTGTCGGGAACCCATCAATTGAACACAAGTTTGTGTTAAAAGTGCAAACAAAACATTTTACAGGTCCAACACGGTCGCCTTCTGCGTCAGTCGGTCATCGACCACCTGGTGCTTAGGGTAGGTATGTTGGCACGAGGTGGAAATAAGCGAGTGCTGACTTTAAAGCGGCGTTGTGTCTCAGTGATTCTACAGCACTTTACCGAGTGCAATGTACCTCCATGTACGCTGCCTCGTGGAAGGTACCCGTCAGATGGGCTTTGGTAGCGGGTAATGTGGAGTATATCGGTGCTAGCTCATGCGCGTAAGGTACCTTCTCCTTTTCCTCCCAGATACTGTAATAAGTAATTGGGCTCAGTGGAGAGAGCTGTGGCCGGAGGCCAATTAGCAGCAGCAGCGCCATCCTGCAGCCCTCAACCCCCCTGTCCAAGTATGGGTACTTGCGTCCAGAAGACAGACAGTGCGCCCATCATACCACAGCTTACTTAGCCTCTGTGCGTCTATATCCTCCAGCTACATCATCCATAATACTAACTGCAGATAGCTGGATCCATAGCAAAGGCAGGCCGACTCCTAACCAACCCGCCCTCTCGCCCTCAACCACCCCGTCGTCCTCTCCCTCCCTCCCGGGCTACGGTAACGGCGACAACTACTCGCCATCTCAAGTTTAAAATATACTCGACAGCTCTCGGGCTAATGAAACGGAGAGCCGCTCACGCCTAATAGCTAATTACAGCCTGCTCCTGTCCACGCAAACCACAGCCCCCTCCCCCCCTCGACCACCGATCGAAGACCAAACAGCCCACGTCAGTGAAGCGCAGCCGCACGGGTGACGCCGTTTGCCATGGGGTTTCTTGGTGTTTACAAGGCGCTTTACGACTACGCGCCCCAGGCCGATGGCGAGCTTGCGATCGAAGAGGGTGACCTGCTCTACGTGCTGGAGAAGAATGACGACGATGGATGGTGGAAAGCCAAGAAGAAGGCCGGCGCCGAGGACGAGGACGAGCCCATAGGCTTAATTCCACATAATTATGTTGAGGAGGTGCGTAATACTTGCAATGGTTCCTGGCTTCAATTCCACGATTTTGTCGCCCCGAGCTGTTTACGTGCGCTCCCAATCGGGCATCTGTTGATCGCGGATTCCGTGGGAGATGCGGCTCACACGCAGCCAGCTCTGCCCCCAGCGGTCATGCGGCACTCGCGGACTGGCCGGTGATCCCGCCAGTTGGTCTATGCCAAGAGCTGAGTTAACTTGCAAAATAGGTTCCCAACCAAGGCCATGCGAGGGCACTTTACGAGTATACCCGCCAGACCGATGAAGAGCTATCCTTCCCCGAAGATGCCGTCCTCGATGTCTTTGACACCTCAGATCCGGATTGGATTCTGGTTGGTCTCGACGATGATTATGGGTTTGTCCCATCGAATTATATCGACATGTCGGCTGTTTCCGATGACGCTGCTGCGGAAGCTGCGGCGCCAGCGCCTCCAGCACTCCCCTCGAGACCACAGCCGGCAGCCGTTGAAGAAGAACCACAGAGCCCTGTCCGAGCATCGCCGCCTCGTGCTCCAGCAGGACCTGCGGCAGCTCTTGCGGGGGTGATGGCAGGTCGTGCGGCGCCTCCTCAGCCATCCTCGCCCTCCCCCCCCCCTCAGCCTCAACGGTCATTTTCGCAGCACGATGACTATCAGCATGCATCGGATGATGAGTCTACTCGATCCCCAGCCTTGCCTTCGCGACCACGACCGCCAACGTTGGAAGTCTCACGTAGCCCGCCGCCTCCACCCAAGGATGACGATGTGACTATTCCTCCCGACCCTGCGAAGTCTCCAGGAGGCTTTCACTTGTACAACATTAACGAGATGGTATCTATCATGGGCAAGAGGAAGAAGATGCCAACCACTCTTGGTATCAATCTGAGAACAGGAATCATTCTCATCGCACCAGAATACGCCCAAGACGGCCCATCACAGGAATGGACGGCTGACCGGATGACCCATTATTCCCGGGAAGGTAAGCACGTCTTTATGGAGCTTGTCCGCCCAAGCAAGAGCATCGATTTCCACGCCGGAGCCAAGGACACCGCCGAAGAGATTGTCATGTCTCTCGGCGAGATGGCTGGAGCTGTCCGGGCCGAGGGGCTTCGCGAGGTGATCATGGCAGGATCCAAGCAGGGTATGAAAAAGGGCCATATACTGTATGATTTCACGGCACAGGGCGAGGACGAGGTTTCCGTGTCCGCCGGTGACGAGGTCTTTGTCGTTGACGACTCAAAGAGCGAGGAATGGTGGCAAGTTCGCCGGCTCAAGAATGGCAAGGAAGGCGTTGTGCCAAGCAGCTACATCGAAGTAACGGGGACCGTCGCAGCTGGCGCCGGACAGTCGGATTATGATAATCTCAGGTCGACGGTGGAGCAGAACCGTTTGGATGAGCTCAGACTTACCAAGGAGGCGCTGAAGGCCAGCAAAGAACCAGAGCAGGTAGGGCATGGAGTGCCTCTTCCCGCACGAGGCAGCAGTCTCGCCGCAAGTGAAAATGGTAATAATTCGGGAAAACAGCGAAGTCGACGTGAAAATGGCCGGGGCGAGAATAGTGGCCAGGCCAAGCCCAAAGCCAGTGAGTTGACTCCATCCCCGTTCTCTCCTTCTGGATTACAAACCATTCGGTTGACTAACTGGTTTTCCCTTTTCTCCCTTGGCGCCAGAACCCGACCCTTCGAAAGTCCGTACTTGGACAGATCGATCCAAGTCTTTCAGTGTTGACGCCCAATTCCTTGGACTCAAGGATAGCAAGATCCACCTTCACAAGATGAATGGTGTCAAGATCGCGGTCCCTATAGCTAAGATGTCACGAGACGACCTTGAATATGTAGAAAATCTCACAGGCATCCCCCTTCAGACTGACGATGCTACATCATCTTCTCGCAAGTCTAGATCCCCCGACAAGGCCGCCCCTGCTGCTAGCTCAAAGGTCGAGAAGAACAAGAAACCCGAATATGACTGGTTCCAGTTTTTCCTGGACTGCGATATCGCTGTGGGTCTTTGCGAACGATATGCACAGGCATTCATCAAGGACTCGATGGATGAAAGTGTGTTGCCGGATGTCGACGCTGCCATTCTTCGAAATCTGGGTCTCCGGGAAGGGGATATCATCAAGGTAATGCGGACTTTGGATAATAAGTTTGGACGACAACGGGCAAAGGATGGCGACGGCGGGCTTTTCTCTGGCGCAGGCGGTACTCTTCGTAACAACACCCGCAAGGGACGCCCTGCTCCCGCTGTCCAAACAAGCGACGTTGTTGATGCTGCCGCCTTTTCCAAAGGCGATAAATCAAGTCCTGCTGCTGAAGAGTCAAAATCTTCACCTGCCCCTACCAGCCCAGTAAAGGCCAACAACACAAATGCTGGCGGCTCGAAAGCCGGCGGTGGGTTTGACGATGATGCCTGGGATGTGAAGCCCAGCAAGCAACCTCCAGCAGAGCCCAAACCGCAGTCCCCAGCGCCAGCTCCAGCACCTGCAGCTCCAGCCGCTCCCGCGGCACCCTCAAGCGCCCCATTGACCGGTTCTATGCAGGAGCTCTCTCTCCTGAGCGAGCCTCTGCAGCCGACCAAGGTAGAGGGACAGCCTCAGCCGGCTCAGTCTACCATACCTGCGGCTGCTCCCCAGCTTGTCCCCCAAGCAACTGCCACGACTCAGTCTTTACAAGGAGCAAATCCAAGCTTTTTCTCGTCCTTGCCTCCACCACAACAAGCTATGGCGACGGGAGCACGTCAACGCCCGACCCCCCCTCAGCCCCTTTCTCCCCAAAACTCACTTGTGCCGCCGCCACCCCAGCGACCATTATCTGCGCCCTTGAGCGCACAACAAAGCGCCTTTGCTTCTCCAGGTCTTGTCCCTCAGATGACAGGTGGACTGTTGCAAAGCCAGGTGGCACCCACGGGCCAGAGCTTGAACGAGATAACGCAGGCTCGGCAGCAGCAGCTACAACAACAGCAACTGCAACAGCAGCAACTACAGCAGCAGCAACAGCTCGCCGCAGCACAGCTACAGCCGGCTTACACGGGTTTCCAAGGAGCACAGCAAATGGGCCCTTACTCGATGGCTCCCGCTGCATACCTGCAGCCCATGATGACTGGTGCGCCAAACTCCGGTCCGTTCATGGACCCAAGCCGACCCCAGTCCTTCTCCCCAATGCAAGCTCAGCCTACTGGTTTCCAACAATTCGGCAACAACATGCAGAATTCTTTTGGTCAGCCAAATCAAAGTCAAGGCATCAACAACTTCTTACCTCCTGCCCTTGAGCCTCAAAGAACTGGAATGCCCGGTATCCAAGCCCAGCCGACGGGAATCAATTCATTCAACCCCCAGCAGGCAGCTCAGCAACAACCTCTTCAACCTCTTCAGCCTCAGCAGACCGGCCCGGCGCCGCCAGTTCGCTTTGGCGTCACACCAGACACCAAGAAGCTGGTTCCACAGGCGACAGGACGCAGAGCAAACCTGTCTCAAGCTAGTAGGTCTAACCATCTCAAGGCGTTGACATGATATAAATGCTAACTGAAGGCTCACAGCCCCGGAGAATCCGTTTGGCTTCTAAACCTTTTGCCCAAACCATCCCGCTGCAAAAGAACACTCTCGCGACTCCCCCCCTTTACTTAATTCCATGCATGTAGGCTTGGGCCATATGAGTTGTGATGATTGCAGTTGAGCGACTCGATTAAGCATATTGGATGATAGGACATGCCTGTCTTATAGACTTAGCTACCTGTATGTATGTACGTAGATCTGAACCTGGAGCACCGGCAGGCTACATAGTTTTTTTTATCGACATCGACATTATAGTATATATTCTAGCCACTGTTGCATAATTGGAAAATTTAATTGCGTTGGCATCAGTATTAATATTTGAGGCTGGCTAAAACTTGAAGGCTTGCATGGCTTTCCTCGTTTGCTATGTGGTTGTTCGTTGATGTGAAGAGAAATCTAAATGTGCGAAGAAAGAACAAGAATCAGAAGGAGGAAAGCAGACAATGCTATCTATCAAATCCCACAGGTGTAAAAGAAACTGCGCTCTATGTGTGACTAGCCAAAAATTGGACGCGGTTGCTAAAACCTCCTTGGTGTTTCCAGTTTGGCTATCTGGGGTCACGGCTGGCAAGCATACGGCATGCCGCTGATAACTGTAGTTATCTGATGTCCTGTTCCATTTGTTCTTTGGGCCTTGCTAGGGTCAGATGAATATTGGACTCTCGGAGTTCAGCTTTGCTATCGTTGTAGACCAGATTTGAGCTCTTGCTATTATGCAGGCGATGGGGAGGCCCGAGGCGTTTCAAAAACCCGCCCCTTTCTTCATGCTTTGCGGCGCCTTCCCTGGACTTTCTCTGGGACCCCCGAGGCGAGCGTTGATAGATCCACGCCTGACTCGGTGGCTGTCTCATTAACGGGCACTTCGGCTGGCTTTTCGGCTGGCTTGTCGGCTGGCACGAATCGTTTGCGAACAGCACGAATCATTCTGAAAAACCAGTGAAAATTTAAGAAGTTGAGGGTCAGATTGCTGGCTAGATAAGTAGCGGCTTGCCAAACAGGTACTGTTGAGGCCTCAGTCGCAAATATCATGGTAGAGATACCTAGCTTAGTAGGGCTAGGGTGGAGGTTCTGGAGTGCAAGCCTGATGTCGGTTAGGACGACATAGGACTGATATGTTCCAAAAATGAGACGCGAGGTGAAAAACGTGAAGAGGAGTGCGATGCCATTATACAGCTGAGCCTTGGATCCTGTCATCTTGACCTTGTCCATGAACCAATGAACATTCAGAAAAGGGGTAGAAAGCTCCCAGAGAATGAATACTGGGGCATAGAAGTTAACGAGGGGGCGCTAGATATGGAATCTGGAGTTAGTAGGCTGTCTGGAAAGCTTTCGGAGGAATATGGAGTCGGGGATGTCACATACAAATCCTAAGCCGTACACCAGCAGAGCAGCGATGGCGTGGGCCAAAGTACCAGGACCGAAAACGTCGAAATGCAAGCTGCTAACAAAGAAGTCCCAGACAAAGTATCCAGCAGCAAGAGCCTGGATCATGCCTTCGGCGCCCGTATAGCCCCAAACCCGCTCCTCCCAGTCCATGCGCCCACGTTCCTCGTTGGCAAGCATAACCCATATCGCCAGGACATTGATGAGGCAGCTCTGAACCATAGACACGACATGGGCATCCCAGTTCAACTTCGTCTTGCGGGGAAGCTTGGAGTAGTACTGGGGCGCCAGGATGTTGGAGATGATGGGCGACACAGGCCAGAAAATGAGCGAGTAGAAGAGGGCGCTTCCAACGACTTCATGGATGTGCAGAGGTAGTGTAACCATGCCAAGACGGTCGGCCCATGGCTTGACGAGCTCTGATAGCCATGGGATTGGGGCAATGAAAAAGGGATCCTCCATGGTGAAGGATCGCGAAAGCAGATCGGAGATGTAGGTTCGTGGTGGTCGTTAGGGGCTGCGTCTTTGCCAGGGGTCGAGCAATATTTCCCGGAGAAGTTGTTATCTTCGAACTCGGACGGCGCAGGAGGCGGACGGCGGTAATTATCTTATCCCAGAACCTCGAGTTGGGGGGGAGGGACAGAGAGAGAAATGACGTGGGCACGCGACGGTCTTGAATCCAGGACTTGAGTATGGCGGAGGGGTGGAGAAGATGATGCGCCAGTGGAGAAGAAGGGGCTGAGCTGGATCGACTACGGAAGCCACGAGGATTAAGGACCCATGATAGTGGCAGCTGGAGTGTGAGAGAAAGGAGGGCGAAGTGAAGCGCCGGCTGGTTGATGGGGAGGAATCCAGCCAAATCTGTTGGGGTAGCAAAGGTACGTAACAAGAGGCAAGTAGCAATTAAGGTTAGGTCATGCTTGCAGAGGGGACCTGCGACTGCTGTGCTGTGACCTGTCACAAGCGCGCTTTAGGGGCCGAGCGGCGGGTTAGGTACAGCAGACAGGCAGCAGAGCGGGTGGGTGGGTGCAGGGTACCTCGCTGGAGGTTGATCATTCCCAGGAGGCAGCTCACAGCTGGACAGAGGGACTGGAATACAACCTCGTGAGCACGCCCTTAGCTCCCCTCGCATCGACTGACCAGCCCTCCCTTACTTGTGCCCGGATTGCCAGCTGACCTCTTCCGGCCACTCGCCCGCCATGGCTGAATCTCTGCACGAGCTCCTGGATCCCCAGCGGACCGTGACTGACGGTGCTGCCCTGAAATATCTGGCCCATTTGGCGGATGTGCCTGCCAATGCCCTTGCAGCCTCCGAGCCGCAGCAGCTTACGCATACATCGCACTCAGTCCTGCTCCAGATCCAGGCTCTCTCAAAGCGATCGCACAAGCCTCTGGTTGCGTCGGCGGCCAGCCATTCGACCCTGCGCCAGTCGTTGCCGGCGCTCGCCCAGAGTGCTGCCGACCTGGGCCAGTCTGTCCCGCGTTTAGATGGCCAAGCTGAGTATTTTGCCACTACTTTTGGCAAGGCAGCCGAGAGCGATACGCTCGCTCGTCGGAAACGGGCCCTTCGCATGCTTCAGAACTCGGAGCGTTTGGTGGACGCCATGGAGCTCCCTCCTCTCTTGAATTCCGCCATCAGGACCACACCAGTCAACTACTCATCCACCCTTGATCTATATACCCACATCCGCCGTCTTGCTTCGTTGTACCCCAGTTCTCCGCTAGTCTTGTCTATCATGAGCGAGGCAGATATTGCCATTCGTCAAATGGCTGTGGACCTCATCTCAAGTCTCAAAGCACCCAGCCTCAAATTGGCTGCCGCTCTCAGAACTGTCGGTTGGCTCAAGCGGATTGCCCCTGACCTAATCAGTGACGCCTCTCCAAACGATGCACTCCCGGCGCTCTACCTCGTTTGTCGTGTTGCCACGCTTCTCAACCAACTCGAGGCTCTAGATCCGCTGAGGGAGTTGGCCGAAGAGGAACGATCCAGGCAAGGTAAATCAGCGCAGTCTAATTTTGGTGGGCAACAAACCGAGAGGTACCTGAAACGATATGTCGAAATATTTCGTGAACACACGTTCAGCATTGCTTCAGTTTTCAAGAGTGTCAATGCCAGCTTCGATTCTCCAGCATCAGATAGCGTGGGCGATGAATCTCTCATGCCGCTCCCCTCAGCCATCTCTACACTACCGCTGCATCTTGTGGAGATGCTACTTGAGACCTTGCGACAGCATCTGCCTACAGTCAAGGAGCAGGCTGCCCGGGAGAGCATACTGACGCAGGTTCTCTACTGCTCTGGCAGCTTTGGCAGACTGGGCGCCGACTTTGGCTTGCTCCTGTCTACCATCGGAGTCAGCGAATGGGTGGACTTAGTGAAGCGACACCGCCTGCTGGCTGGCCGACTGGAATCTGTCATCGGTGATTACAGCAGAGGCCAGAGCACCAGCACCAATTGATGTCTGGAAAAGGATGTATTTTTGACGTGCTTTGCTCAGCATAGTCTGGCACAGATCAGACCGATCAATCTTTCCTACAACATCACTACCAGCTTCCATTTTACAACACTTCTACATTCAATGACAACTTCTGGAGCCGGCTTATAGTCAAACTCTATTTTCTTGTTTAAGCCCCATGCTCTGGCACCTTGGGAGAGTTGGAAGCTGACCTGCAACCTTCCCGACAACCGGCGTTTAGCCGTGAGTCGCCGTTATCGCGATCGCATTCATGATCGACGTATCAGCTCACTTGACCCATTTCCCGTCAATCCCGGAGACAGCTTTACCATCTCACGAACGACGCTCTGGGTTCTTCATGGTCGCTTCCCACCCATATTGGCATCGATACATTTGCAGCTCCTACTATGATGAGTAGAGCTCATCACCCATCATCATGAGCGTGACCAGGACCAAGTCGCCGGCATCGGCAACGTCAGGTGCGCATACCCAAATGCAGGAAACCATTCGTCTTGAACCTTTTTTTCTCTTTCTACACCGTCTCTCTCCAGTCATTTCGGTCCTTCTTATCTGACTTGGAAATGCTCAGGGCACCACTTTGTTTCGGGTCTTGGGTCTGGAGTTGCCTCAGCTGTCATTCTGCAGCCTTTGGATCTGTTGAAAACACGCATGCAGCAGTCGGGACATTCATCGTTAAGGAATCTCCTTCGGGATATGAGACAGTCTCCCAAGTTCGTGGCCAGTCTTTGGCGAGGGACGCTCCCATCAGCCCTGCGAACTGGATTTGGCTCGGCCCTTTACTTCACAACCCTAAGCTCAATTCGCCAGCAAGCTCGAAATTGGGATTTCGTGCGGTCACGCAATCAGCTATATCATGGGTCATCTGCTCTTCCCACGCTGAGTAATTCTGCTAACCTTGTGTCTGGGGCTGTGGCCCGCACGTTTGCTGGCTTCGTGTTAATGCCGCTGACAGTGATCAAAGTACGTTTTGAGTCGAATCTCTACTCGTATTCATCACTCTGGGCAGCAGCCAAAGACATCCAAAGGGTTAATGGCTTCCGAGGTTTCTTATCAGGCTTCGGTGCCACTGCCATGCGAGATGCGCCCTATGCTGGCTCGTATGTACTCTTCTATGAACTCCTAAAAAGCCAGTTTAGTAAGCTGGCACACCCAC